CACTGATGAGGAGTGGAATTCTCCGAAACTAGTCTGGTTCACAGACACACCCCCAATGAAAGAATAGACCATTCCAAGCTGTTACTTGTAGTTAAACAAATGTTTAAACAACTCTATTTAATTATGTACCAGCTGCCCAGTGTCAGCTAACAATACGAAGAATTAAACTGTGGCAAAATGCTACAAGTTCTTCAAATACCTATAGAATGATAGGTTTCTTTTTTGTGAGTGTAAAACACGTAAATACACCAGGTTGATAAACACCAATTTGATCTCGAAAAAAAAACTGCAACAATTTACATACCTGTGAAATAGTTAAAAAACTTAACAGGCTGGAAATTTTAGAAATAAATAATATCCAGAAATAAAAGAAATCCAGAAAAAATTCTAAGTGACCAAACCAACCTGTCTCAAGGTGAATGTCAAGGTTGCTTCCTGTTCTTTGGTTAAACCTGTTTACAAACCATTCCAGTCTGTACCCGATGGTGATTTTACTGGTGAAACCATGGTTGTTAATAAACAAAGTATTTCTGAAACGTAAAATTGTTTTTCTCAATTCTGTAATTACGGGGTTTCACCAAGTACCGACAGTTTCGATTATTGATTATATTAAGCAACATCACTTTAATTACAGAGCAGGTACACTAGAAAGACAATTTTTTACATCCTTCTTCAACATACCTTCCAGTGTTTAATAAGTTACTTCCTAGAGTTGGGTGTCAAAAGACTTACATTTTACAACCTAATGCCTTAGCATACGTCATACTCAAATCCATAGAACTGATGAATTCAGCTTCATAGTGTGGTTTGGAAGCAAAGCCAAAGTCTCCTGCTTCAATATTACCTGTAGATGCAATTGAAAGAAAATATTGATTTTTATACACAAATAAATATGCTGTTTATACTTCTCGCCATTACTGACAGGACCAAAAACATTCTGATTTTGAGACAATTAAATATTCTCTTTTCCAAAAATAACTAGCTTGAGAAATTTCATAAAAATCATTTATTTTCTACAAACACTGTATTTTTTGAAAATGTTTTAAATTTCTGAATTGAAAACAATAGAAATTTCAAAATGGTAGAAAAAAAAAAGAGGATTTGTCTATAAACATTAACAAGCAGTTAGTTAATTGAAAAAGTTTACATATATTTCACAAATCACATTGAAACTGTTATATTATAATAAATAATTAGTAATCAAATAAATAAAAATCACGATCAACAAGTAAGTGAATGCCAATAAAGTTCTAATAAGTAAAACACACACTGCACAGTAACTGTAAGAAAGCTTTTAAATGTACAAATAGTGCAAAAGTAAGGTTCAAAAATCCCCCCAAAACAAAAACAGGTTATACACAAGCATCTTCTACTCCTATTACCTTAAAACCAAAGTCCTTGTTGAGTTCATTTGAAAATTAACCAAAGACATATTTAGAATTGGTAATAGAAGGAATTCTTTACATAAACGGTTATGGTTGTCTGAAATGAACTGTCCAGCCATACTGTTGAAGCTGAGTCTTCGAGATCCTCTAAGAACTAGCTTTACGAGATTTTTTGGATCAACAAACAAATGATCAAGATCGGCCAAATGGCCTTTGCTCATTTCCAATCTTTCTTATGTTCTTATTTTAGTCTTAATTCAGTCCATAATTGAGGTTATCCTTGGCTTTTTGGACTTCACTGAACTGGTTGGTAACTTCCCAAAAACTTGGTGAACATAACCCTACTTATTCAGTACTTCTTTTTCCAAACTTCTCACTTGTACTTCTTGCAGTGGTACAAGACAAGTTGAAATTAGACTTCTCTGTAGACATACTTTTCTCTTCCTGATTTCTGTCACTATTATTATCCACGGCCGAGTGGCTCATAGAATGGCTATGTTTTTTTGTGTTCTTCAAGCACAAACTTTTAGCTCATAGCTCCATCATGACTCTTGACTGATTTGAGATCTAATTACAGTCTTTGACTCAGGAGGCCAAACCTTTTCGAGTGATGTATTTGACCACACCCAAGGTCTCATTATATTTTAATCCTGCCTATAAGAATTTCAATTTGAAGGTAGGCTGGTAGAGATCCTGATGAGTAGTAAAATTGAATTGGGTATACGAGCACCCCATGTTTGGTATTGCTGGGGCAGAAAATATAGCTAATAAAAAGGGAAACAAAAGTCTCATAGATTTACTCTCATCCTGCCTAAAAGAATTTCAAATGCCATGGCTATTAAGGATTCCCTCTTGTTTTCTTAAGATTTCTCGCCAACTTTCATCAATTTTCTGGTTGCTTGGATTCTTGCTTTTGAAGTGGCTGTCCAAGTTTTCACTGATAAGACATGTAAGAATTGTGGCTCAGTTTTCAGAACAGTTTGGTTACTTAGTTGTACTGAGAATCATTTGACGTTCCATTCATCTTTCATATGATGGTTAAGATGAACCTTTTTGCCATTGTTTTCATAATGCAGACAGTGGTTACAAACAATACGAAAACATTGTTCAGGAATCACCCTCTTGTATACTCATGTTATCATTGACTGCAATTTTCTTGAAATGTCAAGTAAAATTCCACAACATTCATTCATAGTGTGGTAGGAAGAAAGATATTCTTTAAATAGGCTGTATGGACAGTGGGAAAGGATTAATGACATAAATGAGAATTAACACAATGAAAATCGCCATCTGGTGGTGAATTATAAAATAAAATAATAAGTTCTTTTATACTCTTTATATATACATACACAAAATTCCCAATATGGAAAATTATATATTGAAAGCTTCCAAAACTGTAACATAACTGTTTAAATATCACAAGTGAGGTACGTACTTTAGGGCTTAGTGTTAAGGTCTTTGCTCTTTCTTTATTTACATCAACAACATAAAGGAATGATCAATAAATTACTGAAGCTTGCTGATGATATTAAGGCCTTAGGTGCTGCTGGCTGCCAGGAAGAGAATGCTGCTTTACAAAAAGATTTGGTGATTTGGTGAATAAATGGCAGATGGCTTTTAGTTATTATAAATGCCAAGTAACACATGTGGGTTGTCATCATTTTAATTATAAGTATAGTTTTGATGGGAATAGCCCTGAATGTAATGGAAGAAAAAAGATCTTGTGTTTTGGTTGATCAGTCTGTTCTGATATCCAAGGAATGTGATGTTGATAGTAGTTTGTTTCAACAGAAATACTGAATATAACTCGGAGGTTATAATTTCATTATAAATGTCACTGGTTAGGCCACATTTGGAGTATTGTATTCAGTTTCAGGCTCCTTTTTTTAAGAAGGACACTGAATTGTTAGAAAGGTTCAGAGGAGAGCTACTAGGATGATATCTGGGATTGAAAGGTTGTCATACAAAGACAGGTTTCAACATGTGATATTATTTCCTCTTGAAAAAAAAAGGAGTTAGAAGGGATCTGATTGAGGAGTTTAAAGGAATTTAGTATTGATGCATGATCCTTTTTCATACTTAATGGTGAAAATGGTAGGACTACAAGATAAAAATACAACTTTTGAAAAGGTAGGTGTCCTCTTCAGTTGTTTTATTTTTCCAATAGAGTAGTTGGCCTTTGGAGTGGGTTGCCTTCACATGTGGTGGATGCTATAAATTTAAGGAAGTTTTAAAGCTTCATAAATATTTGAATGATAAGGGCTAGCTTTGAATTGTTTTTTTTATTTGTTTCTTAATGATTAGTTTGTGGGATGGCCAAGATGGACCAAAAAGTATTTTGCTCTCCTTACATGTTACATGACGTTACAAAAAAAAATTAAGCAGACGTAGAAAAAAGATATTTTGCCGTCTTCCAATTAATTTTCAAAATTCCAATCTATGCGTTATTTAAATAAAATAATTTGTGCATTTTGTACAAGAAAAACAACAAAAAATATACCAAATAATTGGAATATGAGCAAATAAATTAGTTAGACCAATCTCCCCTACTTAAGAATAAAATAAAAAATTAATGTTTCCAAACCTGGAGCAGAATTTATCAAAACTTGTGTTATTCCTGCTTTTGACCTTGCTGCCGAGATGTCCTCTAACGGGTAATTATACAAAAACTGACTTTCTACAGCGTTAAAACCCATGTTTTTAGCAGCCTCATATCTGTCCACTAAACTATCATACTCTTTAAACATAGTAGATATATTTGCTGCAAATTTCAACGGCATTTTGATTTTTCCTTAAAGTAGTTTATCACGTACTAATAATGCAAAACAGCGTAAGGTTTGTTTCAAAAGGTATACAGACCGTGATGATAGCCCCACTACTATACAACTTGTTTCTTCGATTTCTGTCCTGCTTTCTCCCCCTCTCTTAAATAAACAAAACCACTCTGTCTTATTACTCTCAGGGCCAGTAGACACGAAAAATTTCGCACCATCTGGAGAAGAACTTTCAAGGAAAGGAAGTTAAATCATTTATTGCAATATAATCAAATAAAATAGTGAGCTCATCTAATTAAATTAAATAAACATATTTGTTAAAAAAACTATCCATAATAATTTCGTGATTATAACTTTATATAAGCTATTCTTATCTGGGATAAATTGTGAGTTTCATATTAAGTGAGTAAATGAAAAAAAAAAAGATGAAGGGAAGAATCTTTTAAAGGTAAAGAAACGTTTTAGAAAAAAAAATCTATAGTCATTTCTTCATTTATGTAACAAGCACCCCTAGTGAATGGTCCATGAATCAGTTAGTCTGTTTTTTATTTTAGTGAACAACTAAAATGAAAAACACACTAACTTATTCATTCAACCATCTAGAAACAAGTTACCACCTTCTTGACGATATTTTTTTATGCTCATTAAACTTTGTGTTTGTACTCTAACCTCGAATTCACAATAACATCTGACACAGAATTCTCTAGAGCGTTCTAGGCCTATATCATTAAAGTTTTCTATAATAACGTCATCATTACAACTCACAGCTCCGTCTAACAAACAAATAAATTATAGCTACACATATATGTATCTTATACACTTGTGTTACCTTTCGCACATATTATTTAACTTTGTACAAGTAAGTTAGAGTGGTACAGTTAACGTCATTTGTAAACCTGGCCTGAAAGTTACCACAAAGTTCAAGCTTGTAAAAACATTAAGGAAGTGATAAATCTATTTGCATAGCTGTGAACACTGCCTCTTCAATGGAGCACTGATATCGCTATTGCTACAGCAAGAGAACTACAGGTGCGCTACTGTTGTCATTACATATTTATAAATATAGTGCCTCTATCGCTAACACTACTTTTGAAACTGACATTTTTCATGATAATTGTTTTGTGTGTGAATGGATAATCTAAGAATGAAGAACACAAATTTATTGGTAATGGTAATACTTTATTGCTACAATAACATAATACAGACTTCTCAGAACAGCCTATCCATATTTGTGAATGATGAGAGGAGAGCAGCTAACAATCATACAGCTTTGATACAATCAACGACAGTACCTAAAGAACACAACATAAAAAAATGAATATGATGACAGTAATAATAATAAATGAGCTAATATGAAATAATAGATCCCTAATATTAGACGATATTATGTCCCTTATTATATGTTCAATTTTATTACTGTCTTAATTTGGTATTTAATTTCAGTAGCATCGGCTTCTTGAAATTGTTATCCGTCAATCTATCTCTTTTGGGCCTCAAAATGTCTTTCTCTGTTGAGAAAATGCGTTCTTCAGCTGCACTCGATGGAATGGACGTATTGAAGTAAATGAAGAGAGATTTAAAAGCTGGTGAAGGGAAAAAGTTTGATTTTATATCTTTGAAGTAGATGGTGCTTTACTCAGGAACAGTGTTATTTGATCATTGCTATTTTGGGACGAATTACTTGCAAATTTAGCTTGTTTTTTAAAGCACACAAATAAGTCTTCTTCATCACTTATATCGGCATTTGCTGAACTTTCATTACCACCGTCTTCCATCTTTTCTGAGAGTGTTTTAAACATCATTCGTTTTACAGTTTCTTTCCTAGTATTTGACCTAATCCAGATAATTTTAAACCATGGGTGAAAAGCGACTGGGAGAATGTGATCCTCATTGACAAAGGCAGCTTAAAGCTCTTCTCAATTCCTGAAATCAAAGCATTCACAAGTGACTTGCAAGTTTGGAGTGGTTTACCACAAAGATCTTTCAGTTTTGTCAAACATGTGGTAGGAGTTGGCACTGTAAATATTCTTTTTGGGCAAACACACAACTTACTCTGCAACAAAACACTTTGTGATTGGGATCCACTTGCACTTTCACTTTCAACAGATTCAAAATAGCCTTATATGTAAGGACAAGGATGGCTGCTTCCACGATTAGACTTACTGTTAAAAGCTTCTGTAACAGAAACATCGTCTTTATTTGCAGATTCCATTCGATAAAAGTAGCTCATGTTGGTTTGACGGGATGATGAATGGAAATAAGGAGAAATAACATCTGGTTGTCATAGAGAACAAGTTCAATCCTGACACAAGTTTAAGACAGGAACTGCATGATATAACACGTTTGATTGTTTTTCGTCAACAAATTGCAGTGTAAATAAATTATATACAATATATTATACAAAATACAATATACTAAATTATATAATACTATCATATATTATAACAAATATATAATAATATAGATATATATTATTTATTATTTTATTAATAATGATAATATACAAAATAATATTATTGTATATATTATAAATCACTAATTATCCGACATGAAATATGAAATACCTGGTTCATATGAATATCTTATATTATTGTTACGTCTCTGGTCGTTAGTTTGTTTTTCGTATAATTTCTTTCCGATGAAACTTTAGCGACACAAGTCCTTTCTTAAATAAAACTGGTTTATTCTTTCTGAATACAACTTTGCAATACACTTAATTTCCACAGCCACGCTATAACAAACGCTATAATTCGCAAAGAACGACTCACGCGCTTGACTCAACTGTCCGTATCTATCTCTGTCTGCTATTCAATTACACTACATTACATTGTTGCCGTCACTTCATACCGGTCTTATATATACAAGAATACTGCATATCTAGTAACCTCTCGAGGCTTCAGGAAGGGACATGAATGTTCTAGAAGTTCATGACGTGCTACTAGCGTCACGTAACTTCCGCTGTCGTAACATTATCAATTAAAACGTTTTTACCAAGAAAAACTTCTACTAGAATTGTCCTGGTCAATAATTTAATAAAAGTATTTAACAATACTTCTAAAATAAATAAATAAACCTTCTAAATTAATATTATGTTCAACTGAACATATAAACAGTAAATATTAAGCAAATACAAAAAAACGCTTTATATATATTTCGTAGCATTGCGTCAAGGACAGCCGGCAAGACAATGGCTGCAGATCGAATCAGCTGAATATGTCAGGACTCAAGTAGCAGAGGCGAAACAATATATATTAAATATAATAATCATATACATGCAAAACCATATACTTATATATAAATAAATATAATTTATATTTTCTATTAAAAATGTAGCGAGGAGCGCTTTGCATAGACGAGAAATCGCTATGAATTTTGAAATATAACGTCGATCCATTAGTCGCGTGAACTATTTATAGGGGTGATACACACAGCTTTGCATGTTTGTTATTATTTACATTGACTGAATTTTGGATTACTTTCACTAGATAATTTAAAAGAACAGTGTTATAATAATAAACATATAACTTTCATAAATCATGTTTCTA